GTTTACATTTATCTTCAATAGGTTTTTATCATTTTACATTTATTTTGCATGGAAATTCTCATTATTGTACTCATTCTACTATTTTGAGCACAATTCTGCTATTTCTCTGTTAAAATGTGGTGAACAGGGCTCATCGAAATCTGGGGTGAAATGCATCCATAGAAAACTGGCGTCGACTGCAAAGCGGAACAAAATGACAATCGGCACGCCCTGAACCTTCTCGTTATATTTACGTTCTCTGCTTGCCTTGCCAGCTCTTGCGATCAAGTTTCACTAATTCCGTTTTATTTCGAACTATACCAATGCAGACCAATGCGAGTTGAAATGTAGAGAAATTCTTTGAATTGCAAATGCACACGTATGACCAGATAAGCGCTAGTGTCGCGGCTTTCAGCTGTCAGTTATCCAGCCCGGCAGCGTCAATTAACGACGGTGCAAACAAGATAGAATAACAACCATTCATAAACGCACACCAGACAATACTTTTTTTTCCTTTATCTCAAACTGTCTCAAACCACCCGTAAACCGCGCTTCTATGCTTCTATGTTACTTTTTCACTTTATTTTCATTTGCAGTATACGAAGATATTATTAAAGGCCGGTAGATTATTTTTTAATATGTGTTAATATTGTAAATAAGTTAAAACACACTCAATTTAAAAACCGTGTACTATGCTAACGCTACCAAAGACTGAAACTATCGCAAACACATTTCGCACAGGAAAGCGTAACTGAGCGTAATGTTAATGGAGACTGAACAAAAGAAAAACGAACATGAAAGAAAAGACAAAAGATAACAAAAGCAAAACGCAAAAAACAGGGATGTTTTCAATCAACATGCTCTCTTTTGAAACAGGGATGATATATAAATCTTTGACAAAGAACGTATATGAACAAAGAACGTATATGAATAAGAAGCGACAAGACTCATACGGTCTATGTGCAAATGCGGTAGGGCCGTTTTCAGGGTTTCGTGTCTTCTTCACATCATTTTTCGTCGACCAATTTGAATAGATGGGGAAATATAAGCTCAATTCGCTTTGATTTTTTGCTTTTTTCGGTGATGAAAACACATTGCAAATTATGAAGGGGTAGAAATGTAGCTACTTTAAGCTAATATTTTATTAATTTTTTTTTAATTTCTCTCAATTCAATCAAATTTTTAAAAAATGATTTAATGTGTATATGAACATATGTATGCTGTCCTGTCCTCAATCAACATATTTATGTACACAAATATGCACCTCCAAAATAGTAAAACTTCCGTCGACAATTTGCTTTTCAAAAATTTTTGTACTTTGAAATATATCTGCGTTCGCTGCGACAAATGATGTTTTGTAATTTTTGTTTTGACTATACTACGCTTTTTTTTATTAAAATAAAAAATATGGATTAAAAAAATTAAATTATTTGAAATAAATGATATCGGCTGCCTGGAAAGGAATTTGAACTTGCGCCAGAGCAAAAATACTAAAAATTTGTATACCGTGAGCAATACCGACTGTGCCACAGAACCATTTAAAGTTTTTGCGACATATTCAGTACTTGTACCGAATCAAAGAAATATGGTTTTCTTCTTCTTGTTTAGTTAAGGTACAAAAGAATTTGTTCTCCCCGCGCGCACCTCGTCCACAATCGACTTTCCTGATGTGAACAGTGCGCGCGCGTCTATTCGAACGGTGCATTCATGATTTCGATTAGGAATGCTCACTAGCTTATGCTAATTAAAGGTGTAGTTTTGCCGAATTTCAATATATTTTCAAATGAATTGGCATTACAAAGCTCTTTGTGATATAAATTAGAGTTATATTTATTAATATCGTATGGTTTGAGGATAATTAGGGAATATTAACTTTTGAATTACAATGCATCTGTTCGCATTATCGAGAGCATGTTTATGAGCAGCGGATACAGAAAAATTTTTTTAACTTCTGATTTTTGTGAGCTGTGGCTTGTGGAGAAGCAGTATGTATGGATGTTTGCAAGATTAGTTTTTGAGTTGAATAATCCATAAATGTTATTAAATAAACATAACATTTAAACCAAGTCATAAAATAAATTGGAAAATACTATGAAATGAAATTAGGATATTACATTAAATAGCTATTTTATATAAAATTTTTTTATTCTAATATGATTTACATATTCTATATGTATGCATGTAAATATGGGCATAAAAGCAAATAACTTCATATGCATATTCCCATTCATTCATAACCATAAGCCATTCATGCGATCAATCACAAGAACAACTTCATATGCGCAGAAGCAGCACAAATGCAACAAAAACAACTACTACATACAACCCTCTTTCCTTCTACTCTTCATCAACAAACAGTTTCCTCAAGCGAAGTCAAATTTTGCTACAAATCTGAAATTGATGTTCAACTCACGCCAAAGTGAAAACACATACATTCAAGCATACAATCTTAAAAATGCGCATGCCCTTCGTTCTTTCAACCCGCCAACGACGAGCGACTTCTTGGCGACGATGACAAAATTTGCAAAAATCAGAAATTCATACTCTGAGGTTGAAGGCACATACATTCAAAGAGAGCAATGTGTATACGAAAAACACACACATGCGCAAAAGCCTGCCTATCCTCTCCCCCTTGTACCCGCCATCCACAAGCAACTTTTTCGCGACGATGACAAAATTTGCAAAGATCAGAATTTTTAATTTGAGTTGAAGTCAAATACAAACACATTCAAATGCCTCTTGATGATTGATAATTTGCCAATTTCAAAAAATAAAAAACCTAGAAACCAACCAACAGGCGAGAGAAGGATTCGAAACCGAGGCTTCTGGCAAAACATTCGCAGGCGTAACCATTACGCCAAAGACTTTACTAAAATTTTGCAAATAAAGTGACATTTTACATAACCACCAAGCAAGTTTATATGCAGAGATGTCAGTGAGATCGGGCTTACACACGGAAACTTTTGTTGCCCACTTTCTTTGGTGTTGTCCTTACGTTCACCCAACGGACATAGGTGTGAGAAATTTTTTGATATTTCCCTCCGCAATGTACACTCCACACCTTTATTAGTTTACATTATATATACATATATATAGTATTTAAGAATTTATTGTGCGAATATGTATTCAACAATAATGTAATATAAAGGGGAGTAATCAAGCTTCTCAATTCTTGCTCTTACGACCAGGCAGTATCCAACCCGTGTGGAGTCTTGGGTCACAGCTTAAAGAGCGTAAGCTTCAGTGGAGCCACTCTTGACATATTCGCTTTAAGAGCTCACTGAAATATAAGTCTAAATTTAATCTCTGTTTATCGAAGGCCCGGCTGCAAACGGGCGTTGGTCCTAGAAAAGTGCAAAAATAAAATTTAAGGCTATTCGTCTAGCGAGGTTGGGCGCTGGGTTGGGGATCTACCCTGAAACCAGCTCAAATGAAAAATAGACAATAGCATCGGATGAGGTACCTCACTTTTGTTCACGACCACTGCAAACGTATTATAATTTAAGGCATTGGCAATTATGATTTAAGGGCGTGTACACGAAATATCTGATTATTTTTATGGGAAAGATGTCCTCTTATTAAATTAGATTAAAAGCTAACATTACCAGCGTCCAAGAAGTGCGATGGGTGGGACAAGGATTGAGTAGTAAGTTCTTGAGACATTTATTACATTCGGCTTCGTGGTGAGAGGGAGATTCCGTCGTTCACCACCTGCTGAATGACAGTGAGAATGAATCACCAGGACATAGTGTACCCGAAATCCAAATCGATGACGATGGAACTGATGTTTCACTGCCCGACTATGAAGAAGTTCAAATAGCAATCGGCGGCTTGAAAAACCAAAAAGCAGCGGGCCGATGGATTTCCGGTCGAGCTATGGCGTAGTTATATGGCGGCGACTGATAAGATATATGCATCAGCTTTTTTGCTTAATATGGTCAGATGAAAGCATTCCCGACATTTGGTACCTAAGAGTGATCTGCCCAATTCTCAAAAAAAAGGGGAATCCCACATTGGATCCCTGCAAACTCATTGGCCCTCATCACTGTGGCCACACGAACACACGGACGATTTGACCTACCCAACGTAGCCACTGACTTTTAATTCAGTGAATTATGTCAATGTCGTCTTTCATCTTATTCAGTTCGTTGTTTTATCGCACACGCTTCTGAACCATATACTAAATAAGGGCAAGAATGATGAGCGAGGCTAGGACTTCACTTTTCAATTCAAGCAAGAGAGAATCTGCGTTGGATTTCAATACTGGCATTATTTTTAGTGTTAAAGCCTTATTTCATAGAATTTTTGAAATTTTGCATACTTCTGAAGGTCTTCATACTCAACCGGAAGAATCTACATGAAAAAACTTCATTATATTTCCCCCTCCAATCAATTTTTCAGATATGAGAAACAATATTTAATCCTAAAATGAAATACAATATATTTGATATGGTTAAGACAGGTATAAAGACCATGCCGAAGGCTCTTGACAACTCTTCTTACTTGCTTCGTCTATTGTACAAATGCATCACACTTCCCTCTTGGACCCTGGATAACTTTCCCGTACCAGCAGTATTTTGACCTTGTCGAAGACCAATAACTTCGTTGGCGGTTGTACGTAGGTAGCTTCAAATGCCGTCTCACGGTTTCCTTATAAAGAGTTGTTGACGAGTGATCTCAGAGAGCAAGAGTACAAGTCGAGTAGAAAGCTTCTTGGCTGTCCGTAAGTGCATGCGTATACAAGATTACCAAATAATTGTACAAAGCATGCAAGTAAGATGGACGAGATCAATTTTAGGATAAGCGAAATACGAGTTTGTGGTCTCAGAGCTTGTTATCAAGTGCGCAATGTTAATTTATTTCGTAATTGAGAAGAGTACAAAACATCAACATAGATTATAATTTTAATGTACATATACATATATGTGCTCGTATAAGAAGTAAGCGTGTGAGAATGTTTACATATTCACAAATTCAAGTTATCATTTCAGTGAGTAGCTAGACGTCGGCGCGGTTGGTGGCTTCAATTGCAGTCAAAATGTGTCGATTTTTATTTTTATTTATAGTGCTCGTGGTAGCCATTGGCTCACAACAGTTTTTTGTAGCAGGTGAAGAGTACAAGTGAGTGTACAGGTATATATGTATGTATATACATACATACAGGTCTGTGATTATTTTTCGTAGCGCAAAATTACTTGTTTTGCTTAACAAATTGGTCGAACACAAAAACCCCCAAAATGCTAAATTCCAGCTACAATATTTATACATATTCGTACACATTTTCAGATCATATGTACATATGTATGTACGTAATAGTTCTGTTCGGTGACCTGATGGACAGTAACAATTGTTATTGAATTTTACTGAATGACATTAGGTGAGCTAAACTGACAATGAAATTGACGTTCAGCTTAGAGAGAGAGTTGCAAATTCGTTTTGAGAAATCTTTAGCCAATAAAAAGTTCTGTTTGGCGACAATTTTTACTGAACTTTACTATAACGTGCTCGTTGTGTCCAAAACCCAGTAAAATTAGTAAAGAGGGAGCGCAATTTTGACGTGTGGTAAAAGCTAGCAAATTTGAGCTGATTTGTGATCATATGATTGACATTTTGTCAACTAAATAAAATTGATTTAAAATTAAAATAATATTTATTATATATGAAAGGCAAAATAAGAGCCGAAGTATAATTTTACTAAATTAAATTTAATAGTATCAACGATTCAATCATGTATGTATGTTGAATCATGGCCACTTTACCACCGAGCCCTTTTTGAAGATTTAAAAATCAGGAATGTTGAAGGCATAGAATTAGAAGGTAATATTGTTTTTGTACAACGCAAATTGATTTTGGATTTCTATACTTTATTAGAAAACAATGGCGACCAAGATAGCCGCAACACAGATTCGGTCGTAGTGACCATAATGCATTCTTAAGTTTCCGGAAGCGACGACGATGCACAAAATGAAATATTAGTATCGTTTAGAAGGAAAAATAAAAATCTTTCTTGGTTTTTATTTTAATACAATCGAATTAACTCTATCATAATGTTGGGATATAATGGCCGGCTTACACGGAAAAAGAATTTCAAACTTCATTTAAAATACAATAAGTTTTGTATACAATTAATAAATTAAAAATGCTATATTATTGCCTTTTTTATTTAAATACTTAGGAAAATACTTAAAAGCAGAAAAAAATAAATGAAAATTTAACCGCCAAAATAAGCAGCTGTTTTAAAACTTGCTGGCTAATTTTTATTGAATACTCTCTCAATTTCGTTACTGGCTAATTTTTACTAACATTTGTCAACGAACACAGCTAAAACTGGCAAGTATGAAAAACAGCTGATTTGTAATCAAATGGTTGCATTTTCGTCAACAAAACAAAATTAATTTAAAATGAAAATATTATGAATACTTTAATATAAATAATATACTAACAAAATACGTGTTCAAATGCAATTTTATTAAATTAATCAAATAGTTAAAGTATTCGTTAAACGAAAATGTGTTGGCAGCGGAGTGAAATAATAACCCGCATATCACATTGCGGGCTACATTGAGGAGTTGGTGGTTGGAAATATTGAATGCCTCTATAATTAAATTATTGTATATTCTGATTTTTTGTACGATGCAAGCTAATTTTATTTTCCTTTAGTTTACTAGAAGTCAAATAAGCCGAAAAACACTGCCAAGCGAAATTATTGCTACGATCAATGTGACCTCTAGAAAGCTAAGCTCTTTTTATATGTATCATACATATGTACATATGCTTGGATTTTATTTAAAAAACCACAAACTTTAAAGTGACCAATCGTTTGACGGCAATAGAGCATCTAGAATTAAATTATTGCTGAAATATAATAAATTTTTAAACTGCAGTCGAGTCCCGATAATTCGAAATGGCAAGGGTATTTCATTTTTTACGAATTACATAGGAATTCGATTTACCGAGGCTCAACTAACAAAAAATTGAATAAACAAGGCTTTTATATTTCGCAAAATATTTACATATTCAATTTTATTGGAAATTAAAAAGTAACATGTATACATATGTATGTAGGTATGCACAATTATTTGTACGTTTTACTAATTTAATACAAATTAAACAGAGACATAAAATTAAATATAATAATAAAGCGTTAAGTTTGGTAAATTTCAATTGTTTGGTATTTTTTTCTTCGTTTTTCTATTCAATTTTCCAAACTGATTAGGTTGTCAAATATGCATGTATACTGTCATGGACATGATGTGCTGGAGCCGAAAAGATTTGAATTGAGGAATTAACGTCTGATTTTGTTTTAATAAATAGTTGCTCAAAGATAATCTATGTTCAATGGACTATTCTCCAATAAATCATCGTTTCATATTTCACTGAAACCGCAAGCACGGAAGCAGTTTTAAATACACAAGAACAAAACCAATATTTTCCAAGCTTTATAAGCATTTATCGGCCGCGGTAGCCGAGTGGTGTTAGCATTGCTAACTGGCATGCGGAAGGCTCGAGTTCAAATACCCGTGTGACCAACATCCAAATGTTATAGAAAATTAATTTAAATAAAAAATTAAGCTAAATTTTCTACTTGCGGTAGCAACTCGTTAGGACATTTCAACCCCTCTGACTGTATTTCTGACATGGAACAAACTCCTCTTAAAGGAGCCATCATCCGTTCGAAGGCGGCTTAGTATAAACTGTACGTTCCACCATTTGTTGGAAAAATATCAAGACGCAAAACCACAAATAGGAGGAGGAACTCGGCCGAAAATCGCTTTAGCGGTTATAAAGCGCCAGCTATATATATATATATATATATATATATATATATATAACCTAAGCAATTCGCATAGCTGTTAATATTTTTTCTTAATATGTCCTTAATGCACTGGAAAGCTAAAAATATTTTTAAGCCACTTTGGTTTTGCTGACCTTCCGATTAGCAGGGGCTTGATATTTTTCCATGTTTTACAGCAAATAATAAGGTCACTTTTTCCTTACGGAGTTCGCCCCCATGACATTTTTCTTTTTTGAGGCAATAGGTGCGATCTGGCAATTACTTGTAGAACAACCCAGTTTCATTTGCATTGAAAATATTCTTTGACTCGTCACCCTTTATCATATCACTTAGTTTTTCCTTCCATTGAGAACATACGCATTCATTAACAGATGAACGTTTGCCGCCCATTTTTGCATGAATGTGATATATTTTTTGCCGGTGTTTAATCCTGCTTTGATAAGCCTTCTGGAAGGTGCGTAAAAGATAACCCTACGTTTTTGGGATGTATAAATATTTTTCTATATTTCAAACGCATTTTTATACATTTAATAAAAGTTTTTGTACTCGTTTCTTTATATAATTCCTTTGATTTTGAATTCATTAGCCTAGAAAATTTTCTTTATTAATTAACAAAAATTAAAAATTTCGAACCTTTTTTTTATTAAATAACAAGAATTATCAGGTGTACAACTTTGCTTCCGCCGTTTTCCGATAGGTGGCTGTACCGGCTGAGGCTGGTTGAAATACATAGATTATAATGCCTTTAAGGTAAATGTGAACAGTGACTGACGAATTGTCATCGCCGTTTCAGTGACAGTTGTTCTTGTTTTCGTATTATTCACGCTCGAAAATGTCCGTTTATGTGCCAAATTCTCGCCATTTGCGGGAAGTTTTACTTTTCTTCGAAAAAAAAATGCAGCTGAAGCGCATCGAATGCTCTCAGAAACTTACGGTGATGCTGCTCTGAGTGAAAGAACGTGTCGGGAGTGGTTTCAACGTTTTAAAAATGGTGTTTTCGATGTTGAAGACAAACATGGTGGTGGAAGAGAAAAAACTTTCAAAGATTTACTACGAGCTCTTAAAACCGGGTGAAACCATCACAGAAGATCGCTACTGAACGCAACTGATGCGCCTTAGTCGCGCGCTAAAAGAAAAACGGCCACAATATCAAGAGCGACATGACAAAGTCATCCTCCAACACGACAATGCTTGGCCTCACTTCGCAAAATTGGTCAAAAAGTACCTGGAAACGCTGAAATGGGAAGTCTTGCCCCACCCGCCGTATTCCCCAGATGTCGCCCCTTCTGACGTCCACCTATTCCGTTCGATGGCACACGGCCTGGCAGATTAACAATTTCAATCCTTCGAAGAATTGGAAAAATGGATTGCTTCATGGATAGCGTCAAAAGAGGACTCCTTTTTTCGAGCCGGGATCCGAAAATTGCCGGAAAGATAGGAGAAAGTTGTCGCTAGCGAAGGACAATACTTTGAATACTCGTCGCAATAAAGCTTTTAATTTAAAAAAAAAACGGCGGAAGCAAAGTTGTACACCTGATAACAAATTCCTTTTCCTTATAAAACAAACCAACAAACGTTAGTCTTCGCTATAGATTTCTTAAAAAATAAAATTAATATATTTTGTTTCTGTTCTTAGTTATTTAAATATCGACCTTAAGATATTAGACGGTATTTTTGAAATATTTCAAGTACAAGTTTTAGACAAACAATTTTTTTTATTCGCGGCATATACACACTATGTATGTAGGCTTATTGCATTTAACGCACACCGACATGCTCCTTCTTTTAGAGGAACAATAGAAGCAAATATCTCTTTTTCTTTTTTTCTGGCTATTCTCTATTTTCGTTATTGTTCTTTTCGGGCTCTTCAGACAGTGCATATTTTATATTGCGTTTCAATACGTTACTCAAACTACGAGTCTGCTGTTGATAAGCCAGGTAAAGTTTTCATATACTCTCTTCGACTGTATAATTACTTACTTTACTAGGGTAGACACCGCTTACCCGATTATAGCCGAATTTATAGCCTTGCACTATTCGTTTCTTTGTTCGCTGTTTTTGAGATTGCATTTAATATAAAATTATGTCTGCCTTTTAACTACTATCGTCCAATGTGCCTCTTTTATTACCTGAGCATGAATACCATTTTCGACGGCTCTGGCTTATAGGACAGCATAACAAAACATTTTAGTTCCAAATTTCCGCGATCAATGAAAATGTCTTTGAGAAGTATGCAACAGCCAAAACCCCGAAAGCAACGAACTTACGACGACTACCTACCATCGGCAAGCTGCAGTTGACGATTGAGAAAACTACGTCCCTCAGACGTAGGTTATCGAAGCAGGGTTAAAAAGATCTAGCCAACCACTGCTTGCCTTAAACTCAGTTGCAAATGTTCATAGTTTTAACAAAAAACAAAGCTTTTTCTTTTTATAACTCCCCCGGAATAGGAACATTGCTTTGACGGCATTGTGTAAACCGCTAGAGCAGAGAAGGTATATTAAAGAGAAGGACCGGGACGTGCCGATTGCCATTTGTTCCACCTACGGGATTGCTAAGAGACTATTTCACCTCTATACGATATTAGCAAGAGACTATTTCACCGCAAGTTAACAGCCAACTACCAGAGACTGGCAAATTATTTACAGAATATTGATATTTGGGAGACAATTATTTTATTAATTTATTATTATTTTTCTCGGAAATGGCAGTGGTGAGATAGTCTCTTATTTCTTTCGTCGATTCTGGCAGTTCACATGCTGTCCGCAATCCGTTCTTCTCGCTATTTGACGTTCTCTGGCTTTAGTTCACTAGATACTTACAGAGTAAGCTCTAGATTTCGATTTATGAGATGTTCAATATTTTTTGTGTTGCTAAAAATATGGTCCCATCGTTAACCAGCGGGCGAATTATGGGAATTCGACTATAATTAATAGATTAAAAATATGCATTTACTTAAAATCAATAGTTAAATTAAGAAAAACAAACTGTTTAAGTGAACGGATTCAAATGTAACTGCCAAAATAAACCGCCGTTATACAATTCGCTGGCTAATTTCTACTGACATTTCTCACCGAACAGAGCTAATATAATATAAATATATGTATATACACACATACACAGCATTTCATTCATTCATAAGTATTGTAGTTGTAAGTACTTACTACTGTTTTCTTCTTCTTTAATTCTTCCACAGTGTTGTGTACGGATACGAATGTCGGCAGAGTAAATGTGTTAAAGTTGAGCTTACGGCGAAGACCATAGAGAATGCTATTAGTTTATCGGTGTGCCGTTTACTCTGTGGAGACACGAAGGTGGGAACCGTGTGGCCAAAGCCTACTGGTGCAGTACGCGCGGGGAATTTCATACAACAAGTGAACATAAATCAAATTACATTTGTGTTTCCGAAACTTACCAAGCAACAACCACTATGGGAAGCGTGCAAGGAGCGATTCTTACAGCAAGTAAAGAATCTCACGCCCGACATTAGTGTTGTTAAGGGCGGTGGCTCCAATTTCGTAGTTGCTGTACAGTTAGATACAGAAATCGACGAGCTTCCCCGTCTAGTGCTTGACACTGACGAAAGCTACAAACTATCCGTAACCACAACGCCAGAAAACGGCACAGTAGCTAAGATTTCGGGAAAATCGTATTTCGGAGCAAGACATGGCCTGGAAACTCTTTCTCAGTTAATTGTTTATGACGATATTCGTCGAGAATATCAACTATTGACTGATGTGGAAATTGAAGATGCCCCAGTGTATAAATGGCGGGGAATACTACTTGATACATCCAGGCATTTTTACTCAGTGAATTCGATTAAACGTACTCTGGGTGAGTAAATTTATTTCCACGATATCAATTAAATAATAACTGTATAATATAATTGGCTCTTTGTAACGATTTTCTGAACTACCAGAAGAATACAGAATATGAGTATGATCAGTATGTCTGTCTGCTTTAATTTATATATGAAGACCTGGAAAGCCCCTGGATAACTAAGACGAGTGCACAAAAACTGGGTTGCAAACCATTCGAGAACGTGTAGACATGAATTGGGTATGCTGAACTTCGACCCTAGCGCCCCACCTTACTGCGAAGATCTCCGAAAACTTGATTGGTAGGGATCCAACTCGTCACAATAGATACTGGCGCACAGTCCATCAGCCATTTTTAATCTGTCCGTGTAGATTTTCTAAGTCTCGCTGACCGCTTGTTCTTACACCACCTATCCCCGTTGCATGCTGCTTGAAATATTTTCTCCCAGTGGAAGCGTGGGGTTTTGTGGTGTATTTTGTCCACGACACTAGATACAAATACCACTAATCTTTTGGATTCCGCTGCAATGCTTTCCACTACAATATTATTTAGTAATAGGTTAAATAACGTTTCCAGCTCAGGGTTTGGAGTAGCTCATAGTGCTCCCGTTATGCAGAATCCAACTCCAAGCAGCTTGTGTTTGAAATTTTGCTGACCGCGGTCTATCATACCACCGCTACAAAACACCAATGCAGCCTAGCTCTTCATTTTACACCCTCTGCTTCTCATTGGTCTTCCACAATAACTTGCAGTAAAAAAAACTACTCCCGGGGACTTGGCTCGTTCCTGAGCTGTTACATCCATCTTGTTGAGCCTCACTGTTTTCACGCAGGGATCTTGAACTTCCTCTGTCATCCTGCTTCCAGACGATTGTTTAATAGGTATATATAGGTATAATAGGTATTGTTGAATAATCCACTTTGCATATTTACCAAAATATACTCAGAGTGTACTTATTATGCTCCAGAGATTTCTCTATATTTAGGGCTGATAAATGAGGTGTAGTTGCACTTTCTATAAGTTTACTTGTAGGAGCTTAGGTTCAATGTAAGCGTCTAGAATATAGTACCCTCATGGAGTTAGACCCATTGGACTGTATTCGTTCGATCACAACCCTGACAATGCCTTGACTATATCGCTATTCTGCAGGGGCTTCTTTACTATGCCAAAGTACGTTCGGATGCTAAATACCTATTTTTACGGTTGTAACGTTACGGTTAAGGCATTTTTTATAAGTTGTTGTAATCAATTTCTTTTCATTTTTAGATGCCCTAGCGATGGTTAAACTAAATACCTTTCATTGGCACATCACGGACTCTCAAAGTTTTCCATTAGAAATCAAAGCTCACCCGGAATTTCATAAACTTGGAGCTTATTCGCCAAATAAGATTTATACACATGAAAACATATCTGAAATCGTACTGTATGGACTTATTCGCGGCATCAGAGTCATCCCGGAATTTGATGCACCAGCTCATGTAAGTGAAGGTTGGCAGCATAAGGGTATGGTTGCCTGTGCAAATTATCAACCTTGGAAAAAGTATTGTGGTGAACCACCGTGCGGGCAACTTGACCCAACTGTAGAAGAATTATATCCGATTCTCGAAGATATCTATCGAGAGATATTTGAACTGTTTTCTCCGGAAGTCTTTCATATGGGAGGCGATGAAGTGCTGTCGAAATGTTGGAACTCAAGCGAAGTTATACGCAATTGGATGCAGTTAAAAGGATGGAATTTAGAAGAAGACGATTTCCACCGACTCTGGGGACATTTTCAGGCAAAGGCACTCGAGAGAGTGGACAATGTTGCCAACAACGCCAAACCACTAATTATTCTGTGGACCAGTAGCCTTACAAAAGAGCCATATATTGATGAGTACTTGGACAATACCAGATATATTATACAAATTTGGACACGTGGCACAAGTGTTGAAATTAAACCAATCTTGCAGCGGGGCTATCGTGTAATTATATCTAACAGTGACGCTTTATATTTCGATTGTGGTGGCCCTAGTTGGGTAGGAAGTGGAAATAATTGGTGCTCACCGTATATTGGGTGGCAAAAAGTGTACGAAAATAATTTGGACAATATTGCTGGGGAATATAAATCCCAGGTTTTAGGCGGTGAGGCGGCTATTTGGTCTGAACAAATCGATGAGCTTACATTAGATTATCGGTTATGGCCACGTTCAAGCGCATTGGCAGAGCGACTGTGGTCCAACCCCGCTAGTGGTTGGCGGGACGCCGAGTCTCGAATATTGAACCATCGTGAGCGACTAGTTGCAAATGGTATCCATGCAGAAGCACTCCAACCGGAATGGTGTTTACAAAATGAAAATGAATGTCCTGTGAATTCGAATTAAATTAAAAATAGTTCAAATATAGATCTATCTTTTCATTTACGAAGGATCAGTATGCAAAATAAGTTTCTCAGTGTGCAGTAATTGAGTAATGTCGCATTCTAAGTTGTAAGTGTTTACATACTAGATTTTGCCCAGGAACGAAGGGCTTCTTCTTCATTAAGCGGATGTTGTTTGGTTCTGATGGCTTGGCCATTTTGTTGTTCAGTTGACGAGTACTCCAGCTTCATAATTATCTAGGGAGAGAACATTTATTTCTTCGCCAACGTTTGAGGATTTGAGGTAGATTCCCTCCACAATCTTAATAAACTCTGGAAGTAACTTTCCTCTTGTTTACTTTTCATTCCATCAACTGCACTTTGCAGCATGGCTTAACTCCGATATATTTCCTACTCGACACATTTTGCAGTCGCTTTCAACATTGAAAGAGCTTAGAGAGAAGCGCAAGTCGGGTCTTCCTTGAGGCTGTTAAAGCTCATTCTTCACCAGACAGCCGAATTGTTAGCATCGAGTATTATCGTTCAGATGCTGCTAAGAACAAAATTCAAAATTATAGAAATTTCCACCTGTGTATTTTGAGAATGAAATAAAATCTCCTCCAAGGATCCATCGACCGTTCGACGGTGGCTTAATCGGAAAAATTTCAAGACGTACACCACAAATTGGAGGAGAAGCTTGGTCGAAAATCGTTCAGCGATTACAAAGCACCAATTGAAACGCAGGCTAAGGACCAGAAGCTGTTATAGGACTTCAGCGGACCCCTAAGCTGAACATATGGAAGTGGACTCACAAAATACATCTGTCCTTAAGACGGTACGAAAGAACGATATCTCTCCCATATTCATATACGTTCTTTGTTACGACGGTACGAAAAAACGATATCTCTCCCGTATTAATATACGTTCTTTAGTATTCATATACGTTCTTTGCCAACACCAATAAATTTACGCACATGTCAAATGAGATTTTTATACTACTATAAGTTACAACCCTGTTTTGCGGCCGCCATCATAATCGCTTTGTGTTTCAGTTTGATTTCCGTGGTAAAGCGAAATGTCAATTTTTTGATTGCTTTAGAAAATAGGCGAAATATTCTTCGTCCAATAAGCTTTAGTTTTTATTTAATTTGTTAAAAAATTACTAAATATTCGTGTTAGTATTTTTCATTAGCAAATCTTTACGTACGGTTTATGCACCAATAAGTCTTAGTACAGCCAGCTTCGGTTAAATATCCCAGGGCTCTTTGCACAGCAATGTAAATGTATATGCATATGTGATATATTTTGGTAAATGTGAATAATAAATATTGATTTGTAATGCTAATGTTTCAACGAATTTGTGAAAAAAAAATTGTGTGCTTTGATAAATACCCATTGAGCCGTGTAAAATATGTGGTTAAGCATGTATTTTATGTATAAAATTTGACATAAAATGTTCCGAAAATGTAATTAATTTTGCTTTATTGCAAAAAGTTTTGCTATGATCCTTCAGTGGTTTCATTTTGTGTAATTTTTCTGATGCTGTTATATTTGTTCACGGTGACTAAAATAAATCCGGCAGCTGTTTTACATATCTGTGCACACCACTATTCCGTCAATCGCAAATTTACCCATCTCTGCTTCCATGATTTTACAAATGTTTTAATATTGTAGTTTGAGAATGTCGCATATATGCTAAAGTTCATGATTTTTTGATTAAGATAATACTTTATAAGGTAAGTTTAAGTGCTCATAATATGTACAAACATATGTCAAATAAGTTGTTGTGTCCTTTTTTCTTTTTCCGCTTTTTGTTTTAGGCTTATTTCTTCGGTAGTTATAGCTATAAATGCAAAATTTTTTGCAATGCGGCACGGAAGTTGAAATTGTTGAAATAATTTGGGTGGAATGAAAAGCATCGAATAATAATACAGCTTAGCCTTATTCTATTCTTCTGTATTATGTTGACTAAATGATTAATATCATTGCAATATAATTGTGTTCTCAGTAATTTTTTTATTTGGGGTAATCTAGGATTTATATTTATAAAACAAATAACATTTAACCAATTCCAAACGTAAGGCGAAATAAATGCATAGTACCCCAATTGGTTTGTATGTACATATATTTACATCGTTAACCACAATGGGGTTATTTTATGCTAAACAAAGTATGTAAAACCCCACAAATGCTATAAAAAGTAGACGAAGCCGTAATTAAAGCTGCGTTTTTATGTGGCGAACGTACCCTCGACACGGTATGCCTGTCAGCAATAATCGATCGAAAATAAGAAGAACTAGGTTATATTTTAAATACTATAAGGGTTTAGAATGGACTATTATATTGAACTTATTTTTAGTTGCAAGTATTTCAAATAAATACAAATTCAAGAATCTGAGTGATTTAAGCTGCACTTTTTGAAAAGCTTAATTAAATTAATATCGACATGTATTTATTTGAGGACAGAGTCTAGATTTAAAATATTTCTTTCTTTTATTTTAATTTGAAAAAGTTTGTCGGCATGAGGTCCGAATAAATAAAAACAAAGTAAGCAATGTTTTTTCCCCGATATATTTCGATTACACTCGGTAACCGTCTTTAGGGGGAAATTTATTATTATACGTCCTAACTGTGTGACGTGGGGTTGTGTACAAAACGGAGAAACCATTACTTAAATTGTTTTTATTTATTCGGACCTCAAACCGGAAAAGTAGAATACTCTTTTAATAGTTTAAACGGCATGTATTTTTTCATTTGTGGGATACTTAATCTGTATCTAGATGCGAATTACAATAACCTTTTTGCCTAGCAGGTAAAGCATTTTGCCTTAAATATCTCAACATTCTCGAAATCAAAATTCATTTTGTAAAATTATTTTTTAGCCGGCTATGACTGTTCTCGCATTAAAACATGGAAATTTAAAGTTTTAGGGGCTAAATTAAACAGGCACTTAAAAGTACTATTTTCTAAACCTTTTTGGAAAGTAAAATATGTATTTATTTTTAATTATCAATTAGGAATTTTCAAGATCTCAGTACTCTCATTTTCATCACATTCTTCTAGTAAAACAGTGTGTACTTAAATTATGGTATTAGCACTGTACACAGAACAAGCAGTTCTTGATGTGACTTTTCTCCCCTACATACATATGCATATATGAATGTACAAATGTTGTAGTAAAATAAGAAAGTTAGAGAAATACTTTGCAAACCGCTGACCGCATTTTGTCAATTCTTTTGTTTCAACTGGTCATTATTTTCGTATCTATGTACTAAGACGTGTATATCTACTTACACGCTGTCCGGTGAAACTAAGTTCAACGCTTTTTAAATTTTTGTGGTAAGACAGTGATTAGATTAACCATTTTTTTTATAATTATAATAAAGTTAACACACACATCCATCGGAAATTTGCAAAGCTGACAGCCATAGACAGCGTTGGAATGCTGCGTACTGGCTTATGTTAGTACGAAAACATTTTAAAAATCTTATCGGATATTACCTTAATCCACACTTCCTACCAAACAGAACGTATTATTTTTATAAAGGAAAAGTAAAAAAAAAAAAATACAATAGATATATCGCAATCTTTTTACGAAAATGTTGGAAAATACCCTAACTTTCGTCTGGTTTAGGTGGTCAAAAATATCGATTTTTTTGAAACTTATCTCATTCGATTAGAAAGATTCAGAAATATTTCCCCAAAATTTCAGTGTCAAATTCCTAATCGTTCCGCAGAAATTTCCTCTGAGAGACCATGTGCTCAGGAGACTGATAAGCGGGCGCGAGAACTTTGAACGCGATTTTCTTAAAACAGTGTTTTCCTGTTTTGTGCACACGATTAAAAAAGTTGTAATTGTCGCATTTTCATAAGTGATACCTTTTTTTATAGCATAGTAGTAGGCTTCTATGTGAACCTAAGAAAACACAATAAAAATAAATTATCTTTTTTTTTTTGGATGTTGATGAATTTAAATCCGAGCCCTCTTAATAGCAGTATGCAATGTTAACAACTCTGCCATCCGATACCGTTATTTAGAATTGATTACTCGATTACTTCTATGAAAACCAAGTATTTCCTTTTACTTCGTACGAATAAAGGAAAAATTAATGTATGAATTCCAATGCATCGCACAATGGGCAGATTCGATACCAAAAAACAGCCATAAATAGTGCATAGCTTATTTGATGAATATTCGTAAGAGAGGCAGCTGATAAATTCACGGCCTAGAGTACTTAATGAAATAATAATGTATAGTTTTAAGATTCATTTTTATTTTTCAATTTAGTCTCCCTCAAGTGAAATGCGCTTTTCAGATCGTAAATACCATGCCTTTAAACCACTTGTTCCCTGTAACTGCTTTATTTAATTTGAAAAAAAAAAAAACAGGGAAAAGTCACTGGGAGCCAGGTCCGGACTGGAGGTTAGCTTTTAAGTTGCCTTTGACAAATAATCCATTAATGTTGTTGTTATTGCTGTTGTTTTGTTGTTGTTGTTGTAGCGGGGACTCGTTACAAACTAAACATTAAACATTTGTCTGAACAATAAAGATTTTGTTAACTACTTAAAATCTGATATGATGGTAGTGCACGTACGTGCCGTATACAGTTCACTCGGGGTAACGTGAACGTAGTTTTTACACAAGCCCTTCACATAATTCAAATCTTTCGTATTATCAAGATCATATTGTTTCATGTAAATAAATACATACTACAGTTAAGGGGCTTTACTCTAGGATTTTGGAAAACGAATTTTTTTTTTTGCTCACAGGGTACTTTTGGGTCCTAGAAATGATATGCAATTGGTTTTAAAGTGAAAATTGAGTATATCAAATAGCTGAACTTTTTATTTTGCTGCAGCCCCTCAGAGCGTGCGCTGAGTACAATGAAAGCTTTAAATGGGTTTTCCTCAAAATCAACTGATTCAAACTGGGAGGACAGATTATTCGGACACTATTGCAAAAATTTATCTGAAATTTTCAGAGTAGCTTCACAAACATTACATTTTCTGTAAATTCGTAGCCATTTTTCGATTAAATGTAACATTTTATTTATTTTTTTTTTTTTCAATAATTTAATGTCAAAAATTAAAAAATAAATCCGTAAGTACTTCCAAAGAACATACAAATTTTTCTTTTGTGTTCTACACATAGATCTCATTATTTAGAAGAAATCGGTCCTCCCTTTGACGCCTTAAAAAAAAAGCATGGATTAAATAATTTACTTTACCACCGCCATTTTGTAACAAAATAACGATAAAAGAATATTTTTTATACTTCAATTTATGTTCAATAAAAGGATTCAATAGAAATTCTATTCCTTTTCCCATATTCCTACAATAAATTTAAAAACATCAGACCATTTTTCAACCTCTAGAGTGGCTTTGCGTCTTAATTAAATGCGTAAGAAAATCGCTTTAAATACAATTTTTAGAATCCATTTTTTTGTTATCTTAGAATGAAAAAAACGTGTCGAACATAAGTTTGTTTTGGCGATGCATTCGAATATAAAAATAATCGTTTAAAGCTTCGACCGTCGTTATATAATAAATTCATCACTTAATAATGACTCGTCTGCCTTTCTCCGAATTCTGATATAAATTAATTCTCTTTATTTTTTAAAATTCCGTGGTTCAAGCTAAACAGCGTTTTAATTGTTCATGCCAATAAAAAAATAATTTTCACCCGAGCGAGTATTCATATTACAACAAATGTAGGGACCTACCATTTACACTAAGACGCCTCCGAACGGTAGATGGAATATTATGAGGAGCTTTTATTTAAACTCAGAAATACACTCGGAGGGTTTAAAATTCCATACCCAGTGCCGATCGAAATTTGGAAAATTGAATTTGGATGTTGGTGGGACCAGGGCTAGGACTGCAGCCTTTATATTAAAAATCTATGAAAGTACTTTCAACTGCAATATGGTACTTACCATTTAATCTAGGAGTACGAAATTATTCTTTAAAAAAAAAAAAAAAAAAAAAAAAACTGCCTACTAAAGCTACCAATCATTATGTACACTCACCTATGTATGTACGATGCACAGCTGTTTTTGTTGTTTGTTCTTTGGTCTGGCCTGTTATTATAAATAAATTATCATTTGAACCATCGCTCGGCTAAATGCCAACAGGAAATTATATTATATACCCACAAATACGTCACACGTTTGTCAAATGTACGAGATATGCTAGTCAGAGTATACAGAGTCGATACAAATAAACCTGACGTTTACAGTAATTTATTGTTAAACATGTTAAATATCGTGCTTTGTAGAAACACATACATATAAAATATAAAAAGTAATGACAGCATTTTCGTTTATTATCTTGAAATTTCCTATACAAATTTACTGTTAAATTAACATTTTAAGATTTAAATTTTTAAAACAGGTATTTATATATCAGGTGTACAACTTTGCTTCCGCCGTTTTCCGATAGGTGGCTGTACCGGCTGAGGCTGGTTGAAATACATAGATGATAATGCCTTTAAAGTGAGTGTGGACAGTGCTTAACGAATTGTCATCGCCGTTCCAGTGACACTTGCTCTTGTTTTCGTATTATTCACGCTCGAAAATGTCCGTTTATGTGCCTGATTCTCGCCATTATCGGGAAGTTTTGCTTTTCTGTTACAATTCGAAAAAAAATGCAGCTGAGGCGCATCGAATGCTCTCAGAAACTTACGGTGACGCTGCTCTGAGTGAAAGAACGTGTCGGGAGTGGTTTCAACGTTTTA